CACTTCAAGCTGATTTAAAGTAATGCCCAAGTTTATAGAGAATTAGTGAAACTAAGGAACATTATTTTTCTTTATTAGGTTAAAGGGTAAGCAAATACAATCAATCTTGTCATGTATCACAAGATGTCAGCAACTTCCCACCTCAGCCAGAAAATTACCGGCTCCTCAGTGGATTGTGGAATTACATTCATAACTGCAGAAAACAAATATATACACACATATTTTAATGAAAGCACTGAAGGTTGCTATCTCACATCATCATCACAAATAGGTTACTGCTGAGCTAATTTAATAAATAACGAAATCCAGACTGCAGAGGAACCCCCATTTGGAGCAAGATACAGCCCACATACGGAGACAAAGGTGTTGGTGAAGGGATCTGTAAGGCATGAAGCCAGCAAACATGACCCCAAACCCCAGACTGGGCTGGTGTCCAATGGGGATTTGCTGTCCCAGCCCCCAGCCCTGACCCAGATGAGTACAACCATGGTGAGGTGCTCTGCCCTGTGTTCTAATGATGCTCTACCCTGTGTTTTAGCTGTAGGGACATTTTGCATCATCCCAGCCCTGGCTCAGTTTGGCTTCTTCATTTAACAGCTTCCTAATTCAATTGCAATCATCTCCACCCTTCCCTTGCCATTCCTGATGCAGATAACCTTGCTGAACTCCTCTTGGAGATTTACCAGCGGGAGAGAGCCCATTAACCAGTCCAAACTTCAGAGTTGCTAATCAAAGCTAATGAATTAACCAAGAGAGTGTTGATTTCCAATCTGAACATTCAGGAGGAGGGACAAGATCTGTCCTTCCCTCTGCCCCATCTCCTGCATCCCACTGCAGATCGTTGCTCTGACAGTGCAGGATGCTCCCCTCTCCTCACTCCGTCCTCAGTCCCACCTGGCTTGAGGCCAGGTGAGAGTGAGGTGAGAGGAAAGCCCTTTTGAGCTGGGAAAACACAAATAATCCTTGTAATAACGGCTGGTAGGATTCCAAGCTACCTGCCAAGATCATGAGCTGATCAGACAGCCCGAAGAGCGAAGGATGGACGTCAGCTGGCAAGGACACGGCTGCCCACAGTGGTGGCGGGGCAGAGGGCAGGGGATGCGGAGAGGCGAGGAGGAGCACAAGGCCGAAGGCTTTCCTGCCTAGCAGGATGAGGGATGTGGCCCAGCAGGGCCAGTCTCACCGTCGCGGGCACTGTGCCATGAAGGAAGCTGTGCGTGCCGGCCGGCGCTGCCGAGGGCTGCTCCTGCCCTGTGTCTGACCCTGCACTAACCCTGCTCCCCCCACGCAAGGGCGACTGAGCGACAGTTTATACAGTACCAGGCTGACTGTGTTGCTAAACATAAACTGGTGCTCTCCTCGCTCAGCAAAGGGCAGGACCAAGTCATCGCCTTTTGCGGCTCCAGGTTCCCAGCTCCACTGTGCCCACATGTCAGAGACAAAAATCCTGATGCAAAAACATTTGGTGACACTCAGCAAGGTCCCCCAGACTGCAGGCAGCAGGAGGAAGGGGGTGGCCCAGGCAAGCACTGCTGTCCCCTTGGAAGGAGAGGATTTTCCCACTCCAGAACAGTGCACCCTCCAAGATCTGATGTGGAGGGTGGGTGATGATGTCAATGCTGTTCCATGATACTGCAGCACTGTACCACAGTGGATTTGGATCAAGCCTTGCACTTGAGGTGCTCATAGCAGGATGTATATCCTTCCTGGAGATGATCTGCACACGAAGCTGGTAAGGCCCTCAGCCCTAGTCAGGTAGGTCACTGTCCCTGTCCCACCACCTGGTGGAACAGCCACACTGCAAGGTCTCTGACACCCTTGTCACCCAGCGGCCAAAGAATGTGTTTCCCCAGAATTTGCTCTCCAAACTTGTCCAGGGGGCCCAGACATCCACTCCAAGGGTCACACAGGGAGCTTGAGCCCTGTCTGGCAGTCATTGCTGCACTCCAAATCCCGACCAGTGCCTAGACCGTGGTGACAGGCACCATAAAACACACTCGCACCAGCAGACGCTCAGCAGTGCCGAGGGCTGGCTGGCTGGCTGCCTCCTCCAGAGAGTGTCCCTGATTCAGAAGTGCCCGTGGTTGCCCAGGCTGCTCAAGGCTCCCCTGGGAGCTCTGGCTCAGCCCCTGTGAATGGCAGGGGAATCATGGCAGCTCAGAGCTGCAGAATTACTGGGGTTGCACAACTTGCTGCTTACCCAGCTGATGTAGGCTGAGAGCTGCCATGCACACGCTGACACTCACTGGGACCTGCAGCAGGATGCTGTCTGTTCCTGTGTGGAGTTTGCCTGCACCACCTGGTGCCCACTGGACAACGATGGCTCGAGCGTGCAAAGCCCAGGGGCAGGTGTGCAAGTCAGCGACACGGGGCACAGCCACCACGTCCAACACCACAGCTGGGGAAGCTGAAACATGTGTGGACACAGGCACACAAAACATGCAGCCCCCTGCGCCTCGTGGCACATGCAGATCCCCAGTGTCAAGCTGGACTCCTCTACCTGAACCCACGGCTCTCAGTTGAACCTGAATACCTTTATAAAAAGTTTTCCAGCAGGACACGTGCAGGAGGATGGCGGGGATCTGTCTGTGCCTGGTGCTGTAGGCACCCTGCATCCACAGCCATGGCGTGCTGTCACTGCGCAGGGCGGGCAGCCCCAGCCCGCCCTCATTTATCTCCCCTCCAAATTGTGAATGAACGAACTTTCTCCCAGAATAAATAACAATCGCTCAAAAGTTATTTTAGGGCTGGTCTCAGTCGCTGGAGTTTCCGCGCCTGCCGAGGCCCATCACATTGTTTTCTGCTGCTTTCCTTGGCACGGCCCCAATCCAGGGTTCAGAAGTTATTACTATAAAAGTCAAATTGCTTTGAGGGGGGGAGGCTGGGAGAGGCAGGGTCGGCGGAGAGAGCGGGGATGGGATTCCTGGAAAGTCTCCAGCCAGGGATAATTGGAGCTGTGCGGGGTTGGAGCAGTCCCCGCCGTGCTCAGAGGAGCGTTTCACCTGGCCCGTGGCCAGCGAGAGCTGAGGCGAGGAGGAGGAGGAGGAGGGATGGGGTCTTGCAGGCTCAGCCCCCCCTGCAACACGGTACTGCTGGGGCTCGGTGTGCTGGTGGGGTCCTGGGGGACTCCAGGCTCATTCCCAGCCACCTCCTGGAGAGCCCCTGCCCATCCTCCTCCTCACAGCCCCTTCAACCTGTGCTCTCCCCGCTTCCATTTAATGCTGGTTATTTCCCCATCTACAGTACTAATTACTTTCCTGCCTTTACACTGAGGATTGCCTTAAGCCTTGAAGCATTAATGTTTTATTTCCCTTCTAAAACTTCCTCTTTCAGTGTTTGCCACCACGACTCAGTAAATTTTGGCCATCCCTAAAAGCAAATGTTCTGCCCCTTCACACCAGGCGCCACGCTTGGTTGCAGTAAAGCTGTTGACAAGATGCCAGTCCCCATCCTGCACCAAGCAGCACCTCCTTCCATCCTTTGGGCCCATTTCCCGGCTCTTATGCAGCCAGGGCTTGCCCTGGACATTCCTCAGCACAACAGGGCAGGAGTAGCTCATGGATGTGGGATCTCAGTGGGGATGGGGGCACAGGCCAGCTCTGTGTCCTTGTGGGATTGTGACCTGGCCTGTGTCCCACATCCTTCAATCTAAACTCGATTTTTTTTTTTCCTTTTTAAAATGAATTGCATGAAATGATCATGCTATGTGTCCATGCAACCTCATTAGGATTCAGTTTGCTCTCTCCTTCCCTCCAGGCTGCCTTATTTTTATTATTCTCATTATTTAAGGTTGACCTTACAGCAATGACCAGCATCCTCCTGGCAGATGGGGCCCCGGCTGTGCCGGCCCTTCCAACCCACACCCCAGAGACCGGCCCCAGGGTTCTCCCTGATCTGAAACTGGCACCTCTAACCCACTACAGTACTCGGTGCTGGGGAACCACTGCGAAGAGCCTGCAGGCAGGACTCCCAGGCTGGGAGCAGGCAGGAACACAGCCAGGAGATAAGATGTGGCTCAGCTTTGATACGTGCAGCTCTTAACGCCTGGAGCAAAATCATCAAACACAGGCCTCCACTCAGCGAGGTGACCGCTGGGCAGCGAGGCTTTGGAGGGACAGGGACCAGGCACGGGAGGTTACCTGGCAGCAGGATGTGGCAGCAGCAGACATGGCCTGTGGATGCACTTTGGAGAGGACATCTTCATGGAATCACTGACCGGAAGAGCCCAGCACTGCTCTCACTGCTGTTCCCAGTGCTTCTATCCCACTGGCACTCCAGTTCAGCTCAGCCACCCTGGCATGGCACAGGGCACATACCCAACCCCTTCCCTGCCCCATCACCTGACAGGGCGCTGGGATACTGCACTACCTGGGATGCTCAGCGTGAGCAAATATAAAAGCAATAACTGAAAATAAAAAAGAAAAACGTGATGAGAGGAGAGCAAGCAGGGTGAATATTAGCTGCCATGGAAGCTGGGACATAGGCAGGGCACAGTGTACCATGCACGAGGGACGTCCCTGCCTGAGGACATGCAGAAAAACCCTGTCCCAGGGCTGCAAGGTTGCCATTCCACACCTGCAGCGACCCAGCACAACCCCCCAGGCATAGCTGCTGGAGAAAGTCTCTGCTTCTTGCAACTCAAATCCAGCAGAAGTATCCCTGGGGCCACATCCATCTGGGCCGGTGGGTGAAGTGGGCTCCTGGCTCCTCCGTACACTTTTCCCACCCAGCTCTTCCTTTCTCTAAAATCACAGCATGGTTTGGGTTGGAGGGGACCTTTAAAGGCCGTGTAGTCCAACTCCCCTGCCATGAGCAGGGGCATCTTCAGCCAGTTCGGGTTGACCTTGACCAGGATTGACCTTCCAGGATTTGGGCATTCACCACCTCTCTGGGCAACCTGTGCCAATGTTTCACCATCCTTATTGTTAAAAGACTTGTTCTTTATATCTAATTTAAATTGACCCTCTTGCAGTCTGAAACCACTGCCCCTTTGTCCTGCCCCTTTTAAACCCCCACTGTGAGCCCCTACCACCCCGCAGCCTCTCCACCGCCCCTCTCCTGCGATCGCCGTCCACCAGGCATGGCTGGTTCCTTCCCTATTCCTTCCCTAATGGATCTGACAGCTGCTCCCTGCACTGGGCTGGGTTTCGGTTTCCCCACGCTGAGGTTTTCTTGCACAGTCTGCTGCAAAGCAAGAGCCAGGGCTGGCTCAGCCAGGCGGCACCGGTGCTCCCCCCACCCCAGCGCGGCTGCTTTGCCAGTGGGTCATCCTGCCAGGACCCTCCCGGGCAGTCACCGGCACGCTGGGGAGGGGAAGGAAGGAATAGAGTCGCAGGAATCAGATTATGAACTGAGTAATATCACATGTGGAAGGGCCTGTGGGGAAGGGGCTTCCAGGGCTATTTTTGCCCAACGAAAGTTGCAATTAATTTGCAGAGGAAGTCTCTCGGCATTAAGAAACCCTCCAGGCAGAGTCCGGACCCAGGGACACACATCACATTATTTTCTCGTTTAAAAACCATCGCGGTGGTGAAGGGGGCTGCTCCCTCCGGGCTGGCGCTAACGGGCAGCTCGGGCGGGGGGGACGGGGAAGGGGGGAGCTGGCTCCGGAGGGGCAGGCGTGTTTGGAGACGGAGAGGGAGCCGAAATTAACCTTGGAAAGCATTCAAATTAGGCTGTGTAATAAGAGACCCACTTCTCTGGGTAAATTTGTTAGGATTAGGGCTCACTGAGCTGTTGAGGAGAATTCAGCATGGCTCAGAGCCAGGGCAAAATGAAGCTCCTGGCTTGGTCGGCTGCGGGAAAGTCCAGGCTAATGGGCTTTGGTTCAAACTTTGATACGAAAAAAATCCAGGAACAAAGGCACTAATTCTTCCAAAAGCCCCAAAATCTCAGTTTATACATTTCTGTTTATGTTCATTCATAATAGATATACACAGCTGTTCTTATCATTCATATTCAAATTCCATATGCATCTTTAGCAGTTAGTACTCCTGCCTCAAAATGAAAAAGGAAAAAAAAAAGGCATGTGGAAGATTAAAGAAAACTGAAAACCAACCTGTCTGGGGGTGTGAATTCTTCCAGCATCTGTGTCTGAGCTCAGGTCCTTGCACTGGGGTCCAGCCTCGGGGCAGGAGAGGAATCCACTGCCAGCCTGGGCTGGACATTTTAGGGACTTATTTTAGGCTCTTTGTCACCTGCCATGGACCTGTCCACTGAGCTCCCTCTGCCCTGGGTATTGAGGTGGCTGGCTGGGGTTCAGCCCGTGCCTCCAGTCCCAGGACACACCGGTGTACCCAAAAATTCCCCAGTGATGCTCTACAAACCACAGAGGAGCGGGTAAACCTGACTGTTTCCTCAGGGCTGGGACATCTGTGTTCAAAGTGCCCTGGGTGAGCAGAAGGAAACTTTCCCAAATTCAGTTAAGATAAAAAAAATAAAACTGCGATTTTATATTACTTGGTCTTTTCCTTTAAAAAAGTTTTTTTATCTTACATTCTGGAGGATCTCTCTTCCTTTAAAAATTACCCCTGGACTAAGGAACAAAAAAAAAAAAACAAACCCACAACATTTAAATCTGGATATATCACAGAATATTTGCATCTTAAATCTTATTTTTTTGATCCCTGGAGTTTGCTGTTACAGACAAATCTAGTGCTGTTGAGTAAAGCTCATTAGTAGGAACTAGCTGCTAGAATGAGCAGCGGGGACACAGATAGCACAGATACTTAAAATGTTGTCACTAGGTTTCAGAGTTAATCCTGCTGAGAAGTTCCCGTCTTAACTCCGAGCTGTTGTTGTGCACATCCATGGGGGCTAGAGGCACCGCTATTGATTCTTAGGATTATTAGGGAGGGCTGAGGCTCCATCGTTCTGCCAGTGAATATGTGACCCATGGTACCTCACCGCAGAAAGCAGGAGCTGCAGCAGTGGGACTGGACTGATGCAACAGCCCCTGACCCTCCTCCTGCTCACCTCTGCACAGTGCCCAGGTGAGACTCAGGTTCTGCCACGGCACAGACATGACCTGAGCTGTTGCTGATGGTTCCCACACAGTTTCCAGAGCCAGGAAAGGGGTGACGCGCCCCGCGGAGCAGCGTGCTGCTGCCGTATTTACATTCCAGCGTAAATTGGCTTCTCCTCTGGTCTCTCACGTGTCCTGTCCCGGTCCCCTCCTGCTGTGCGTTCCCCCGGCCGCTGCAGCTCCTCCGTCTGGTTGAAATATCCTTTAATCGGGAGCTCATGTCTTCCGGCCACAGCAGAAGGGGGGCAGCCGCCTGGGGACAGGGGACAACTCAAGCACGCCCAGACAGGGCCCCCTGCCCACCTCGTGCTGTACCCCAGCATGGTCTGTAGTGCCTGGAGACTGAACAGGGTTGTACCAGTGCCTTCCCCCACATCCTCCTTGTCACCCAGGGCAGAGGTTTAACATCTGACCAGGACACTACCCCACATAGGTGTGTCCTCTACTCATGCCTGAGAGTTTGGGTGCCTGAGAGACACGAAGGGAGGCATCACCCCAAGGCCAAAAGACCCTCTCCACGATGCAGGAGGCAGACCAGAGGAGTGGAAAGCAGGCTCACCAGCCGTCTTTCATTTCATGAACAAACACATGAAGACCTGGAAGCAATAAATCCAAAGCTTGGACTACAAAACCAAACACAACTGCAGCTCTCCCTTGGAACAGGAAAGGGAGGAATGAGGACAGTCACAAAGCTAGCCAGGGAGCAGGAGCACCACCAGGATGCTTTAGAGGGGCTGGGTCGGGGTGCTCGGGCCAAAAATGTGTCCCCAAAAAGCTGTCTGTGCTGGTGCTTTTGAGCTGTGCTTTTGATGCTCTGATGCACAGAGCACCCTTGGAAGCAGTCTGGCTTGACAGGTCCCAGGGTGAGCAGCTGTCTCTCACCCTCCTGGGAGCAGCAGGAGCAGAGCCCAGGGGTGCAGAGGGTGCACTGGGAGGACACGTACCCTCCAAGTGTACGGCATCGCCTGCACCCCAAGCTCGAGGTGCCTGCCCATGCAGCAGCCAGAGCCCCACTGGGAGCTGTGGGCATGGGCTGCTGCCCTGGCACAGGGGGATGCCTCAGGGGTGCTGCTGTGGGAGGGGGCTGCCCCAAGCTGCTCTGTGGGCAGGGCTCTGCCTCTGCAGAGGCTCTCAGCTAGGCGTCCCCTAGCCTGGGTGCTGCCTGCCCACAGGAGCAGTGCAGTGCGGGACAACCAGCCTGACTCCCCCCTCCCACCGTCCCACAGAAAAACAACTGGGAGCCACTAGACCCTGCTGCTGCAGGCTCCTGTCAGGTCTCCTCAGCCCAGCTCTCTCACTCCTGCTGCCAAACACCCCCTCTCCCCCTTCCTGTCTTTCACTGGGGTCTGAGCTTTTGTGTTGCTGCACTGGCCCTGCCGAGATCATCAGGCTCATCTCCAGCTGCCCACACAGCAGGAAGGACAGGTGTGTGCTCAGGCCATGGGGATTGCCCTCCAGCCAACACAGCTCACTTTAGGAAGCCCTGATTCCCATGCAGTGGGGGACATCCCACTCACACTGTGCTGGAGACCCGGGGACGAAGACAGTGAAAAAGTGACAGCACAACCAATGGGCAATACAAGCCATTAGTGGGATCCCTGGCCATATCTGCACTTCCCCATGGCCACTCAGAATCCCAGTAATCCCAGAATCCCCACATCCCTGAGAGGTGCAAGGGAAGACTGGGTGCCCACTGGGTTCCCTCCCCAGAACCCTGCTCACCTGACTCGATGATCTTACAGGTGATCTTTTCCAACACAGATGATTCTATGATTCTGTGATCTCCCCTGACAGACGGGAAAGCTGCAGCAGCATAGGAGCTGCCTTCTCCTTCCAGCAGTCGGGCAAACTGCTATTTGTAAAACAAAGGGGAAAACATAAAATCGAATGGATGAGTCAGAGGAGAAGTTAAAAAACGGGGAGCGTGGGGAAGGGGAGAAGCAGGATCTCCATCTCCCCTCCCACCTGCCAGTAGGCAGGGAAGCAGGCAGGGAAACAGGCAGCACCTCGCCTGCTGGCAGCCCATCACGGCTTCAAAGCGGGCGCAGATCGGATCTAGCAGCCGGGGATGTACCGAGCAAGCGCTTAGCGGGGAAGGGAGATGGCTCCTGCGATAAGCCAACGTGTGAACTCCCAGGTTTAAATTAACTAAGGACTTCAGATGCTGCCGATAGTCTGCAGGGAATGGGGAGGAGTGATTTATGGGGGATGATTATGCAGACTAATTAGGCCAGCTTTACCACTTAGGAGTTACCCAGCCAGGCTGGGGGCTGTGCCTGGGAGGACACACTGTGCCCCAGCCTTGTGGAAAAGGATGGGGAGCAAACCCAGGGCTCTCCCTTAAGCCACGGGCACACTGGCAGCCTCCTCACCAGGAGCATCAGCAAGGGAGATCCCACCATGCACTACAGCGCTTGCCCACAGCTGCCTTTTCTTGGGTGCAGACATGGGATACTCATGGCCTCTCTTCTGCTGCATGACCTGCACCTCCCCAAGCTTCCCAGCTGGCATGGGGGGCCAAGGGCTCTGCTGACCTACCCCCCTCCCCGGACTGGTTTATGGCCATTGCACCACAGCTGCCAGGTGTCTGTGGTGAAGTGCATGGTCAACTGGACTCACACCAAGGCTCTTCCAAATCCCAGTTACATACATGCCAAGAACCAGTGATTTCCAGTGGCTGGGCAAGCACTGAGCGCAGCCTCATGCTGCACTGACTCACCGCTCTCAAGTGTAAGAAGTTGCTGTGGTCTCAGCCAGGAGAGCTTTTTATCACGTTATGGGAAAGCACTTGCAGTTTCCTTTTCCAGGAGCCCTGGATATAATAAAAAGGCCTCCTCAGGCTTCAAAGCGGGAGGATTTTCATTGCTTCCTGGGCCAAGAACAAAGCACCATTGAGCATGGCCAACAGTTGTTGTCTCTGTCCCTTGAAGTGCATCAAGAATCCCGTCCTCAGGGCTTGGTGACGGCTTGGAGGGTTCAGTTCACAGGGATGGAGACAGGTTCATCCTGCCCTTGTGCTGGACCTGAAGCACTCTGAGATGGGTTTGCCCCCCTTGAATCACCCAGTTTCACCATGAACTGCCAGGGTGGCCATGGGCAAGGCACAAGGAGCGCTGGTGGCCTGACCCTGGGGCTGGCATCACTTCCCCATCCACCCACTCAGTACCTGCGAGACAACGGGGTGCTGCTGTAGTGCATAACACGGTTTTCAGCAGGGATTGTATGTATGACTGTAAATAACAGAGGTACCGTGAAACCAGCTGTTTTCACGTTAAAATGGAAATTTAACAGTGACAAGCAGGAGCTGCAGGGGATGCAGCACAGGCTTCCTCCAGGAGCCCACACGAGTCACAGCTTAATGCTGGGGCATGAACTTCCCACCACTTCCAAAGTTCAGGGAAGTGTGGGGACTTCCTGCCCCTTGGCCTGGGGGTGCCCACAGGGAGCTGGATCCCTGCTTTCAGCCTGCCGCCTCTGGCAGTGTGATATGCCAGGGACAGACACTCAGTCGGGGACACTTCCCAGACGCCTTTGGAGAAACAGGAGTTCCTTGTCACCGCTATCGGCATGAGGCTCCTGAGCCCTTCCTCTGCCCACGCTGGGTCTGAGATGGCTTGCCTGGAGCCCTTTGTCACCAGTGCATGACCAGCTGGCTGGGGAGGGTTCTGCCTGGCATGATGCCACCAGTCCCATCGCTGGAGATGGGGTTTTGGGGAGAAGGAACTGCTGCGGTCCCCATGGCTCCTTCTCTCCCACGTGCAATGCAAAGAACCAGGCCCAACAGGACTAGGGTGGTCCCATGAGCCCCTGCCTGCTCCCCACATCCCCTGCTGCCAGCCCACACTCAGGTCCAACCACCTCACCTCAGTTTCCTGGGAAACAGAAAGCCTTCACATTTGTGCAGAGACAAAGGCAGGAAAGTTCACATGGTTAAAAAAAAAAAAAAAAAAAAAAAGAAGAAGAAGAAAGAAAAAGAAGAAGAAGAAGAAAAGTCAGAGGAAAGAGCCTGCCTTGTGCTGCCCCACTAACACCACACTGCTGCGGCTGCCCATGGTCTGCTCCAGCCATGCACAACATTGTTGGCAAGCAATTACTTGTTACACAATATTTTTGTTTCCTCAAACCATTAATGAATTATTTAGGCATCTCTAGCAGTGACATGGAGAATGATCAACCACTGCTCAGTGTGGGCTGCCTCAGTGCCTGCCAGGGAGCAGCTTTTGGGAAAAGCACCCCCACACCAGGACCCTCCATGTGCTCGAGCAGAGCCACAGCACTGCAGAGCTCACTGCTGCAGTGGCAGCAGGGCAAAGCACACCACCTCTCCCCACAGAGGCTATCGACCAGGAGTAGGAGCTTTTTTCCAGAGCTTGAAGAGCAAAGTTCACCTGCTCCACCTCCCCCAGCCCTTTCCTCCCCACAACGTGCTCCAGGCACCTGCCCAGTGCCAAAACCATGGAGAAACTCGGCACTGATTTGTAGTGCGTGAAGGTAATCCAGAGCTGGAGCAAACTGCTGCACTGAGTCACTGCAATCCTTGGCTACCTGCTAACGAACACAGGGCCAGGATGTCTGAAACCTGCAGAGAAAGCCCTGGCTGTAGCTGGGGGAGAGCTCTGGCTGCTGCCAACTGCAGCAGTGAAACTTCACGAGGGTGATGCTGATCCTGGACAAAACAGTTCCCTCCAGCATGTGCGTGGACTTGAGTTGTCTCATCACATCAGCCCATCTGCCTTGAGCAAGGTGCCACTCGGCATCCTGCACTAGCACTAACAGGTGTAAACTGGAGGCTCCTGAACCCAGGCAAGCCTGAGGGAAGGAGGTTTTCAAAACTACTCCAAGAAGCATCTTTATTCCTGCAGATAAATGCACCGAACACGGAACAATGAGGGGACAAAAGCACTCTCTAAGAAAACTTCAGAAAGACACAAGTTCTTTCATAAAATCACTCTTCCCTGTTGGAAAGGCACATGGTGAGGATGGACCACTGCTGCTCCAGTGCTGGGTGGTGGTCTGAAGGTGAGAATAGGACCTCTGGCTTGCCTGGTGCCTTGTTGCCAAAGGACACGGGATCTAATGGGAGAACTGGGGAGCTGGTGCTGGCCTGCAGTGAAGGGAGGCTGTAGGTCTCTTTGCCCTTGAGCTAAGGAAGAAGGCTATGTTTTAAAGCCAAAATCCCTAGTAAGGGATGGGAAGCTCTGCTCCCGGCTCTCCCTTTCCTGTCAGTATAGTCAGCAGGCTACTGATGCCAGGGAAGACGCTGGTCCTGAGGAATGACAAAGAAGCTCCTGGGTCTTTCAGCTCAACCATAAAGTTTCTTCAGCCCTTCACTCCCTCAGTCTCACACCAAGTTTACAACCTCTGCCACAAACCCATCTTTGGGCTCATCCTGGATGGGCTCGAGGCTGCACAGGGATCCTGGTGGGAGTCAGCCTCACTGGCTACCATGGACCTTGCCCCCCAGGAGGGCCTGCATCCCTCCTGGCAGCCCTCAGCAAACTTGGTCATGAGTTTCTCCCAACACTTTACCCTTTCCCTTTTCCCCACCTCAGCCCCCTGCATGGCCTCAATTACTGGCAAAGGCTCCTGAAGGCCCCAACCACTTGCAGCTGATCACAACACTCTTCTCAGACCTGGAGACCATCACCCCCTCCCCTGCTTCCATCTTCTGAATAATGTCTGATTCCTCTTGTGCAGGGTTTCACAGCTGTCTGACGTCTCAGTCATCCGCAGTCTGCCTAGTCCATGGCATCCCCATCACCCCATGAGCTGGCACACTCCTGGTCAGTCTTTTACCTTGTGAATTACTTCCCCTATGTGGAGGAATGGGACAGAAAGAACTGAGGGGGTGCAGATGAGGATGGAGCCAGGACAATGGAAGCCTGAGCCTGGATACCACTGTCTGGGTACTCAGCCACAGCAAATTCCAGGGGAGGGTCCCCTCCCCAGGGAAAGCACTCAGCCCGCTTTGGCTGCTTCTGAATTTGGTGGAGCACCTCACCCGGGCTCTATGGTTTGGGCAATTAGACCTTTCCCACAACGCACGGTTACCCTGGCGCTGGTCCCTCTGATGTCTCAGTGCTGAAAGCTGAGACGAGACCCGGAGGGAGGGACCCCCCGTAAGCGAGAGGGAGCTCGCAGACATCACTGCAGCTCCAGTTCCCCTCATTCATCCCCATCCCCAGTACGTTATGTGGCTCTCGCCTGCAGTGGGGCCTCCAACCAGAGAAACACTCGCTTTTTTTGTCAGGGCTGGTCTCCTCATGTTTATTTCCCTTTGCCGTGTGAGCAATTTCCCCTTCCCACACAGGGAGCGACGGCCCGCAGCCGTATCAAACGCGGCCGTGGGGATGGGGCCAGCCCTACCCCGTGCTGGCAGAGCCAGGCAGGGACACACGGCCGTATCTCATCCGCTGGCATGCAGCACGCCGCCGCGCCTGCAGGAAACATATGTCACTGGTTAAACAGATCGTGAAAGCTTCAATCACTTCCTTATGGCGGAGCCGGGCTGAATTCATACCAACAGCCAGCATCTCCCGCACCCTTTCCTGTGAGTGGGACCACCCCTCGCCCCCGTGGGGTGCTCCCCTGCCTCGGTGCTACCATGTCCCCATGGAGATGGGGCGGTCCCACAGGGAGTCGTGAAACACTACCCAGAAAGACAAACTGCTTCTTGTCAGCACCTTGTTACCTCCCCGAGATGCTCCCCTCTGCCTGCAAACCTGACCCACGGGGAGCTCAGGGGTGGAGAAAGTCTCTCAAATTCACAGTCCGTCACAAGGCTCCCTCCAGCATATTTGCCTCATGCACAGCTGCTGTGTTTGGGTCACTCTGTGCTTGCTGGCAGCACATGGTCAGAACCCAGGTGAGCCTCACTGGTCCCCAACCCCTCACTGACCCCTAGGGTAGCCTTGCAGGAGCTCAGTGCATTTTATGGGCATGGGCTGTGCATGGAGGAAGGGACCCCTCAGCTCTGCCTGTCCCCAGGGAGCCACAGGCAAAGCTTTCTTTGGGTGTCTCCTGGGCTTCGGCAGCATCTCCTGGAGAAATCTGCTCTGGAGCAATGTCAATCACACACTCTCTCCTGCTTCACTGGTGGGGTTATGAAAGTTCCCAGCGTCAATAAAGTAGACAGTCACAGCTGTCCCTTCCCTTTCAGCTGGGGTCCAGGGCTGCCCAGGCGGGTCCCTCCTTCTGCAGACGTGGGTAGGTGTTGGTGAGACGATGTATCATCACAGAGTCTCTGCCTTTACGCTCAGTTTTCTCCCGTGGGCTGGAAGTTGCTTTTTTTGGAAGAGATGCAGGCAGGAAAGCTCATGTGGGCTTTGGTGATGAGACTGGCAGCTGCCGTCATCTGAGC